TCTCATACAAGAAATCATTCAGGTAATAATTATTACAGGTCACATACAAGTTGCATCATCATTACATTGTTATTATTTCAGGCTCATACTGATGGCAACATGTGATGCTTTTCATAAGTTCTCCATGGTTGATATTGGTTCATCAGGATCACTTCACGATAGTCAAGTTTTCAGGGAGTCTCATTTTGGAAATTTATTAATGAGAAAGCAGCTCCCAATACCTGGGCCAAAAGTTTCACCAAACACATCAATCATTTCACCATGTTTTCTGGTTGCCGATGAAGCATTTCCACTCCATGAAAACATAATGAGGCCATATCCAGGAACAAAATTACCAGTCGGAATGAACATTTTCAATTATAGACTTTCTCGTGCTAGGCGAAATATAGAGAATACTTTTGGTATACTCGTGCAGAGGTGGAGAATACTAAGAGGACCCATCATAGTAGACATTGCATTAGCTGAACTAATTGTTCGAGCGACTGTTGCATTGCATGATTTTTTATAGTGTGAAGAAGAATGTCTGCCAGATGATGAAAGGAGGTATTGCCCCACTGGGTATGTAGATGTAGAAGGACCTGGTGATGAAATAAAAATGGGGCAGTGGAGATCTGAACAAAACTTTTTAAGATCTGTTGGTCGTATTGGAGCTAATTACTCTACAAGAAATGTTAGAGCAAATAGAGACATTCTAAAAACATTTATTTCATGTCACCCATTGGAAGTCTCCTTTGGCGGTTGGATCTTGTAATGAAAGGTTCAGTGCCATTATGAATTCATGTTTGAAAAAGTTTGTTTTTTATGTTCAAACCAAGGTGACCAAACTATATTGATTGAAATAAAAAGATGCTCACATATATCAGTGTTTTATTGCTATCACATCAAGACAAAGTTTGAAAACAAAATAAATATTATCAAAATAAAACAAAATTCTTTGAACAATATAATAATAGTTAAAATATCAGGTTAAAATAAAATGAAATTCTCAAAAACAAAATGGAAATTGAAAAGGTGAAAAATTCTGAAGAATAAAACAAAACTCCAGCAATCTCCAGAAAAATATCACAAAAAATTCATTGATGATAGAAATAAAAAAATATCACATAATAATAATTAGTCTTCCAAATATTTTTCTAGGGTTTGGTAAAGATAAACCTTTGCTCTAGCTTTCATTTTTTTATTTTTTATTGTGTGTACAGATTTGCCTATTGATCTGCCAAAGAAATCATCCTCATCTTCGTCTTCTTCTTATCTACAAAAGAAGGAGGTATTTACCTATTTGATCAAATGCTTTAGTAATTGTCTCCTCCAATGATTTATTGGAGGATTTACTATTCTTTCCTCTTAACTTTCTTATATTTTCTTTATGTTCAGAAAGCTCTTTCATGGCTGTAACAGGTAGAGGTACATCCATTGGTGTTGGTATGTCCGGATCAGTCGACGACATTCCTGGCGTGTCTGTGTCAGGTGTATTGTCAATTTCCACCATGTCATCTGCTTCAATGAATATCGCATCTTTCCAGGGTGACGACTGTTGGGATGATTCTTCAGATATTTTTGAAGCAGAGTATGCTGGAGTGCAGGAGACATTTCCCAGAGTCGAAAACATTGAAAGTCCCTCAAAGTAAATATTCAAAAATATTACCTCCTTGGGTTGTAGAAATTGTCCAAGAATTGCATTTTTTTCAAAAAGATGCCAAGAATGATATGCTCCACTTCCTGAGGGCTTTGTTTTTTCTGTTCTTCTTTCTGTCGCATATCTATTTCTCAAAATAACCCACCTGGCAGATACATTTTCAACTGAAAACATCAATTGATTTATCACTTTGTACACGAACAGCAATGATAACCTACTTACCACTATCATGCATGATTTCTGAAATTGTTTGCCAAGCATTTTCTTTGGCCAATTTGTTTTTGAAATCCACATGATTTTTGTCGTTCATCGAGCATTTTTCAAGTGTCAATATGGTGTCAATCGGATATTTCTTGGTATTTGACAATTTGACGCATGCGCTGCTTTGAGTTTATGAAAGGAATCAATTTCTTAGTTGAATGTTGGCCATCTTTCTTAGTTTCAATTTAATTCTTAATTGCATAGTTTTCTGAATGAACACTCCCATTACATTACATAGTTTCATAATAATAGTTTTAGATTTAAATTCATTTAAGTTTTAATTTATGCTCGCATGAATCCACCTTTAATCGCGCTTTGGAGTGTGGTGAAACGATTCAATATGTTAATCGTGATCTGAAGCACTCGAATGCCTTGGAGAGATCAAGAAAGATGCACAATGCTGGGTCCTCATCATCGACTGCCTGGTATACACTCTTCAGAAGATTACTGATGGCGTCATCCGTAGATGTTCCTACTATGAATCCAAATTAATTGTCCGATGATAATTAATATTTTTTCAAGTATTTGTTCAATCTCAGTTTCATTACTTTTTCGGAAATTTTTGTCATGGTAGTGATCAGCGAGATAGGTCTGTAGTTGATAGGTAAAGTTTTATCTCCTTTTTATAGTGGTTTCAATACCGCCAATTTGAATTCCTCTGGAACTTTACCAGTGTGTATCATCATATTAATTATATACGTTAATTGATGATATATTTGTGAGGAGATAAATCTGAAAGTTATGACAGAGTCGTAGCCAGGGGCCTTGTTCGTTCATTTTGAGATTTGAAATAATTTTCTCAATCTCGATATGGTTCGTTGGTTCTAGAAAAAAAGGGTGGACTGTTGGCCGAATTTGGTGCCCTATTTCCTTATGAGTTATTTTAATCGCCATCTCTATACCTACATTAATATAATAATCGTTGAGTGCGTTGGCAATATCTGAATTTTTTTCTGCAATCTCGTCATCAGTATGACGTATTTGCCGAATATCGTCAAGAAATATAAGAGCCTATGAATTTACATCACTCCCGTTCATTTCAAGACCTTTTACTATGAATTAATTTTTCCAAATTGAAACATTCAGTAACATTGTAGTTTTGATGAGGTCAGCTGAGTTCATAGGCGTCAGTTCCTTTATAATTCGCAAAAAAACGCTTACCGCGCGATAATACCTAGGTAAGCAGTATCGAAAGGTAACGATGATTCTCATCGCTCAAAATTGCGGACCTAGCATCGATTCCGAATATAAATAGTACTCGAGTCGATAAGGCAATCATTCATTATCAACACAAGTCATTTAGGGATCACCAATTGAAAATGTTCGCCGTCTCCCCAACTTCAAGCCTGCTGGTCAACCCCCTGCTAGACGTTATGATGTGGATACTGTTTTTATGATATAATAATAATAATAAAGGTCTTTATTATTTTCAAGGATTACTTATACTTATACATTTTATAAATAAAAATAAACAGATTTTTCTTGAAAATAAAGGGCGAAGTTCATTTTCTGTACAGAAACAGTAGCTTCACTACGAAAATGCTCTTCCACTTAACCCTGATATAGTGTGCCAAGGAGAACATGGTGTGTGGCCTTTTGATTGATAATAGATAGTGGGAGAAAAGTGACAGAAAAGGGATGAATACCTTCATAAATTTTTCTATAATTTTTTGGCAGCGAGGTAGAGGAATATCTAGACTTGTGTATTGAATAGTTCATTTTTATATTAAGATCTAAAGCAAGTAATGTTGAGGTTCTTGATACTTTCAGGAACGGAGTTATTTAACTGATAAATTTGGTAAGTGAAGAATCGCCTGAATATTTCAGTTTCAAATTTAGGTGGGGATAATAAACCTTTGAATCGTAGATTTAAGTTATGTACATCTGTCCTGAATGATATTTTGTGGTGCAAATATGTAGGAATTTTGAATACAACAATTTTGTGGTATAAGGTGACAGCATGATGAATTCTTCTATTTTGCATACTTTACCATCCGATCTGTGTTAATTTATGTGATATTCTCTGATTTCTTCTCACACCATAAATCAGGAATTCTGCACTTTCTGAATTTTGTTCTTATATACAGTTGTTAAGTTCGGACTATAGACGGGGTCAGCGAAGTCGAAATGTGATAGAACTAATGCTTCAAATAGTTTTATTTTTATATTCCTAGGAAATAAATGTCTGTTTCTGTGCTGAAACCAATTCCGGGTCTACTACAACGTCTAGTTTGGACATGAGTATATAAATAATAAATATAGTAGTAATATAAATATATTAAAAATAGCAATATCCCCTCCCTTTATTTGATTAACCCGCCGAAAATGATGGCAGCGAAATGTCGAAGGTCATCTGTCACCTCGATTCGTCGTCTTCGGGTTATTTTTACTATTTCAGGCACACCAGAGTTGTGTCACCTGCATAGAAATAGTCCTTCAGAGATCAGTTACCCATATGCGTTATGTGGGTTGTCCGCACTTAATGCATATCAGAGTATAGTTGGTTGCATGCGAGGTTACGGTTGATGGCGCGAGCAGTATTTAAAATGATTTAAAGAGGAAGGCATAAAAACAGGATAAACTACACATTTTTTGTGACTCAATGTTTTATTCACAATAATTGTACCCTGTGGTTGAGGTCTCCTTTTCTGATTCAACCTTGATGGAAAATGGTTGGTGCCTCCTAGAGTAAATCTAAAAATTATCCCTCAACTAAATTTATTTTGAACCTTGTTGGTTTTCAACAACCCAGTGAACATTCACTTTCATGAATATGAGTCATATAAAGGTTTTCGTCAGACGTCTCGTTCATGACATTTGATTACTTAAAGATTAATTCTAAAAACCTTGTGAAATTTTAGGATTATTCCCTTGTTGAATTCAAGGATCACTCATTACTAACAATCCCAAGCAGTTGGGTGCTCGACAATAAAAAATATTGCCTCTACCCCAATACCAATAATACAGGCAGTATTTCATCAAAAATCAAATCCAGAGTACTTCCAGGGCCAAACTGGAGAAAGCTGAGAATCAAACTACAAACGGATAATGGTAATTAGGTGTGAGCACACATAAATCATTATTATTCATTAACTTTTTTCAGATACTAATGAGACTTGTGAGACTGAACTGTCAAAAAAAAAAGATCAGGAAGTATCTTCAGATATCGAGTCATCGGAAGCCTCGCAGGAACATGTCGAAGATGACACAATGATGGATAACACTATTGGTATATGTTTCAAATATTGTGAAAGCTATTTTAAAGTTCTTCCAACGAAACGCATTTTCTGAGAATCAACATATTGTTAACAGATTTTGGTTATTGACTATCAGGAATTTTATATGTTCTTTGTATAATGCCCCAATTTATTTCAGTGGCTGAAGAATATCTTACAAAAGCTGACTTGCATCCTATTATCAAAAATCAGAAATTGATAATGAAGGAACTGTTTAATATTCGAACAACTTTAAATGGCATTGATTCGAAGACATCTGCAACAATTATACCGGCAGTAGGTATTAGTAACAAATACAGGCTACCCATCAATGATATCGAAGAAATGAAAAAACTTAATACGATTCTTAATGATAGGGGGGAGCAGAACCTGTTTGTGAGTAATCTTTGGAATTCAACTATTTTAACTAGCAGAGTATCATTAATACTGAATCAATGATATTGAATTTCTAGATGAGAAATATGGTACAAGTCGGGGAAAAGAATGTACAGGTGTGTACCTACCGAATTCTCGAAAAACTTCTGACGGCCCATCTCTCCATGCAGATGAACTGGAGTGGAAAAAATCAGAACAAATTTGCCATTATAAAAATGAAAAATTTGGTCCTTCGCATTGTTGGTAAGTATTTCGATCCGATCTTTCATTAGCATTGATTATCATTATTAAATTTCATATGTTGATTGTCAACTTATTGCTGCTTGCGTTGGCAGGAATAATCAGTATCTTGAAAACTATACATTTTCATGATATGCTCTATGTTCATATAATATTTCCGTTTAGAAATCACCCCTTGAAGTTTGGTTACATAATCAATTAACACCCTCTATATACCAGAGTCATAAGCGTATAGCAGAATTTCCTAAACTGCTGCTGTTCAAAAGATTAAAAATAGCAACAAAATAGCTCCAGCTTAATATACAGGGTATTTCCGAAATAAGGACGATATCTTATGAAATACATAGTGACATGACATAAACAGAATCACACATTTTTTGAACAACTGACCTAAATGACATTTTCAATTCATATGTAGGTATGTTGGTTAAAAACTGAATTTTCACATACTGTGTCAAAATCACTTTCATGTTGAAGTGAAAAATTATGACATATACTCAATGATATGAATCTGTTCAATAACAACATAGTTAGATACTTATGGAGAATAATTTAACATTTACACCTGGATTGACACACAATTATTTCATGCCATATTTTTTTTATAAATTATGTGCCAAATTCACATTCTGCACAATCATGTCTCTTACCACCTTCTCACGAAATTATTGCTTTATAAATCAAAATATTTCATTAAAGATATAATTATTATGCATAATCTATGAACTATTGAATTAATCATCACTAATAAACTATATTTTTTTATTTTTCAGAATCAGTTTGTATGACAATCAAATGCACGGAAAGTGAAGTTGAAACTAATATTAAGAACTATTTGAGAACTGCCAAAGATCGCCTTCGTATCAGGGACAAACAAAAGTCTAGAGTAAGTATTCTAATAAATTCAATATATCCAACTATATGTTACTGTGATGTTGAAGTATAACATTATATTATGTGGTCCAGTCTGCAAAGGCTGGATTCGAATGAAATTTCTCCCTCGTTGCTCATATAATATGCAGCTCAAAATCTGTTGATAACACTTGGGAAGTTGTGAGTTATCATTTGCTCAACTCAAAAGCCACATTTTTTGTTTGATATCCTATCTATTGTAGTTTACGAGTTGAGCAAATGTCAAATCCATTTTTGTATTGTTTGAATAGAATTCAATAAATTTCAATGTTTTTGAGCGAACAGGAAGACGATAAAAACATTCATTCATATCAATTCACTATAGAAAATCGTTTAAAAACTGGACCAATTGGCATATCATTTCAAATATCTGAAAACATATGTGATGATGATTCAATAATGTGTGATCTTACAAAAATCATGATTGAATTGTGAAAATTTTATTTTTGATATATACAGGAAGTCAGAAAACCATCGATCATATGTGTCTTCAGTAAGTATTTCCTTAGTATTATGAACATTTTATGTTATACTTTTGACATTTGTTGCGAAGATATATATTTCTTTGAATTTCACATTTTCCATAAAAAATTGTCTGTCATACACTCTTATTTATAGGGTTAGGTATAATCATTATCAAGAAAATGAAAAAAAAACGATATATCATTGTTTTGTCATGCAATTTATTAGTACTTGATGATTGAATACAATATATATTAAAAATAATGCTGTCAGTGTTGACATATCTTACAGCTGTCATCTTCGACTTCCCAGTATTGTATCATTGGTTACTTGAATAAAAATACACATCAAATAATTATCTTTTCTCCCTTGCAGTAGTTGACTGAAATTGAGTATTTCTTGAAAATGAAATATTATTTTCTTACTACCAACTTTCAGGATCTTTCTTCCTATAATTACTAAATTATTCAATAACTGTGATTTTTGAACTCACTCTGAAATCTGAACTTCTGAAAGAACCAACACTCTTTCATTTTCTATGAATTATCCAGGGAATCAGTTTAATTCATAGATTTAATATAAATTATGTAATAAAGAGCTGTTGAAGCATTTCTCTCGCCCTGAACATTTGAATTTATTTGATATATTTCATAGGTAGGAGCAAGATCAGGTGATGATAATGTGTACCAAAGGAGAACAGAGCAGCTGCAAGAGGTAACATGTTATTCAAACAATTCTAACAGTTCGAACAACGATGACATACCTGAAGACATCGTCTCACCTATTGCTAATTCAACTGGTTTGAATTCGGATCATTGAATTGATCGATTCGGTGAAGAACTGGTCATTGCTAAGCCAGTTCTAGAAGTTCTCACACATTATAGGATGCATGAGAATTAAAATTATATTGTGCCTGGCATAAAATTGGAGCAAACTTTCGATTATGCATTCTTAAAGAAACTTTTTATGCTCATTGCTCATAAAGGGTGACTGAAATTCATGCCTATTGAGATTCCTTGAGATGTGAAATTCACAGTAATTTAGTTCTGCACTAAATGCTCTTTTGAAATTTGTAAAATTCTGATTGTTTCGGAGATACCCTTAGAACGAAATTTCATAATATAGTTCTTATTTTTTATGACGTTATTCGAATGCATTTTTCAAAATGAATGACACTTCGTCATGGTCATTCCTCCCTTCCTATAAGGGAAATGAATCCGATGTTATGATTTACAGTAGCCATCATTTACTTATTTGTTTCAAATGAGGACTTAACTTTATTATTTCATCTTATATTATCTTTGGACACTGCAAGAGCTTTCACCAATCAATATTTTTTTTGGATGACAGAAATTTAGAGTAGCCAAAAATTTGTTTTCGATTAATGGGTACCTATTTTATTTATTAATGGATCGATTCCATTGATTTTGTTATTCTTTGAGAGAGAATTGAACAAGACAGAACCTCAACTCCATATTTATTGAATACACACACACAGACACCTAAATTCGGAATCCAGATGTGAACACACACCTGTTTCTATACATGTTATATTATTATGTCAGTTATTGTTTGACGGATTTGCATGTGACCTCTTGTGACTTCTTGCTCTCTTCAGAACAGTCCACGCTCTCAAGATATCACACCCAAAAAATACAGTGTGTCTCGAGAAAGTTCCAGCAAGTTATTAGATTAGGCCAAGTTTATGGGTACCCGCCATTCTTGTTTCATGTGAAAATTCAATAAATGGAAGTATTGAAAAGGAATATTCTCAGATATATTATAAACATGAAAAAATGGATACATTTGAATAAATACATTGAGAATTCGCATTCTCTATGTGATGAAATTATTAATTCTTTCTCGGCATATTCAACAGAAAACAACTACTTTCCTGGCTATATGCCACGACGAACATTGAATTATATCAATTGAACATACACGATAGGAATTTGAGCATAAAATGAATATCGTCTGAAATTGAGAATTGACATTCTCTTCCAGAATCGGATGAATACTATGATGAATATAACGATATAAAAAATATATTACTTACCAAATTGGTATGAAAATTGGAATGTATGGGAGAAATATACTAGTATACATACTCTGTTCTTGTTGAGTCGTGAATTTATCAAAAATCATCCGATTCTGGAAGAGAATGTCAATTCTCAATTTCAGACGATATTCATTTTATGCTCAAATTCCTATCGTGTATGTTCAATTGATATAATTCAATGTTCGTCGTGGCATATAGCCAGGAAAGTAGTTGTTTTCTGTTGAATATGCCGAGAAAGAATTAATAATTTCATCACATAGAGAATGCGAATTCTCAATGTATTTATTCAAATGTATCCATTTTTTCATGTTTATAATATATCTGAGAATATTCCTTTTCAATACTTTCATACCCAATCAAGGGGTTCAAACTTGAACGATGGAAACTTGTTATTTTTATAGACCTTCAATCGCAGATTCGTGATTGGGTTTTTCTCAATTCAGAATTTCTTTCCACGCCCTGTATGATAAATGTCAGTTTGTCATACATCTAAAATCAATAAATGGAGTTGATGTTTTGTCTTCAATTTTATTCCAAACAAGACTAAAATCAATGAAATCAGTTCAATAATGAAAAAGATATAAATCAAAATCAAAATTACTGTTTCTATTTGACAACTTCATATTGTGGTGCTATTAAATATTTGAATACAAACTAGGTTTTTTCAAGTGATAGACATATATTTCGAGGTGTCCGAAGTCAACATTATATTGAAAACATAATGTAGGTCAGTCTTCAAAACAATTGAGTTGATAGTTTCCGGAAGACACGTTTTCCCAACTTCGAAAAAGCGTTTTGTCCAGCAACGAATTGCACATTACATTACAGCAGTATTTTTACTTTGCTGAACATTGCCAAATTTATGCCTCATAGTGCATGCATTGAATGTTTTATAGAATATTTGTATCTGTTATGTATATGTTTATGTGACTCAGGGATTTCTTTTATACTCTTCCAGAGCATAACTACTAATGCACTGTCAAGCCATGAGAAACAAGTTGGATTTGATAGAAATAAATGTTAGTGCAACAATTATATTAGGTATTTTTGTTTCACATTTTGAGGATGTCCTTATATTTTTTCTTAACATTTATTTGAAATGTAGTGATCAATGATATCACAGTAACTTATTGTTCCTATCCATGACAACTTGAAATTTTATGTAGAATTAATACAGGGTGTTTCAGGACATATGCACAGAACTTCTCGATGTGATAGCATGTCCGAATATATGAAAAATAGTTTCTATCAACTCACCCTTTAAAATGCGCCATGTTTGAGACGGTTCCAGAGGTATTCACATTACAGGAACCTTTTTTCTAACTTCAACAACCTATATCTCGCGAAAATGGTGCATCTAAGGAGTATGTTAGTATGTATTTTTTTTTATATATTTGGACGGGGTATCACATCCTGGAGTCCTGCGCATATATTATGTGGAACCATGTATACAGTGTCCAATTGAAAATCAAGAGTAAGGTTACTTTCAGCTTAACCAAAATCATAGAAAGTCGTCACTACATCAAAATGCAGCTGTTTCCATATTTGTTAATCAGGTCAGATGTTACTCTGAAATCAAAAAAATGAATGCAAAATAGGGTTCATTCAATAAAGTAATGAGAATTGCTTTATATAATTGTTGAACTGAAGACCAAATACAATGACTACCATTTGGAAAAACTTGTTTTCAAGAAGTAATGAGAAGAAAAACAAAGTATACAATGAAAAACTTGATGTTTCTGAGGAATAGTTATATTGTGTTGAACAGTTGAAAAATATTCGAATATTATAAAACGATTTCTGAGAAGCTTGTTGGGTCAGGTAAATTAGATACATGCATTTTCCATGACTTATAGAAATTGAAGGAAGTTATTGATGGACTTATTTTTAAAAGTGTAATGAACTGAATACATCCCAAAATTCCTGGAAACACAATGCTACCACGTGTATAAGAGGTCAAAATAAATTGGTTGGATCCAATTTATTTATATACCAAAATGTACAGTTTGTCCGTGAGAGAAGTTCCAAGTTTACATTGAAACAAAATAGGTGCAATTTGATTTTTTATGTCGAATTAACCTTTGTATTGATGAAGGTGGCCGTCATGTTGAACATTTATAATGAAAAAAACGTCCTGCCTTTGTTTTCACTGTCAACTAAATTTTGTATTACAATGTTATTGAACTTGAACTGGGAATATCTGTTAACAAGAGTAATGAAATTGAGATAAATTTTGTGGAAATCTTATCGTTTGTGAAGTTTTTACATAAGATAATTAGGTTTCTTTGATTACTGAAAGGTCAGTAATTTTCTAAAATAAACTTTTGTAAAATTTCATTAAATTCGAACTTTGGACTCAACATCTCATTAAAAACGGTTCATTTTGGTACATAAGTAAATTGGGCCCAATCAACTCATTTTGACAAATTTACACGTGGTAGCTGTGTCCCAGCAACTTTGGGACACCCTGTATATCTGGAAGAAGTATATGCAGTGACTTCAATGTATAATCCCAAGAAATGCAACTGAGGAAAGATTAAGATAATCCATTGCATAGTCTCAATCAGATACGGGATTCATCATACAGAAAGTTTGGGAATAGAAGATATTGCAGATGTTGGATATGATGATACTTCAATGTGTGATTTGTCTGACAAAGTGTCATAGTTATAGCGGCAACAAAATTCCAGGAATTAACTAGTGCTGCCAGTATAGTAGATACTATATAAACAATTGCGAAAACTGATGATGATTTTGGAGCTTCTTATTAGTGAACTTCCAATGGATCCCAGAACTTTGTTGAAATCTGAAACTATTGATTTATGTTTACTTGAAAACTTGAATGGTACTCATGTTCATTTTGGTATTGAAACCTCGATTAAACATATACTTACTGAACTAACTTGGTATCTGACAATTTTTTGAATCTAAGGCTGAAAATACATATAGACGGAGTGCAGGTGTTCAACAGTAGGAATGAACAGTTGTGGCCAATCTTATGTTCATTAGAAAACTCGCCTCCATTTGTAATAGCAATTTTTGGTGGTCGTAGTAAACCTGATTCCATAGACAATTACATGTCCCCACTAATAAATGATCTTGGGAAATTTGGAGAGGAAACACTATCTCTCAATGGCCAGTATTCATACTCCATAGACATGACCAAAATATTATTCATCTGTGACATACCAGCGAAATGTTTTATAAAAGGAACCAAATAACATAACTCCTATCATGGATGTAAAAGATGTATACAGAAAGGAGAATGGCATGGACGAGTTACTCTTACTGAAATAAATTCACCATTGAGAGATGATGCTTCACTCAGAAATCGTTGCCTTCCATATTATCATTCCTACTCACCTCCATGAGAACGCCTTCCATTGAATATTATCTAGAATTTTCAGTTTGATTATATGCATCTCGTTTGGCTCGGAGTTATGAGAAGGTTGTTGAATTTTTGGATGAAGGGTCCATCGTAGACTCAGTGCATAACAAAGAAAATTATAGAACGATCCTATGCTAGAAGTATTGTCATGCATTCCTGATGAATTTTCGAGGAAAAAATTAAATGGATAGATGGAAAGCTACAGAATTTAAAAATGTTTCTTTGTGCACAGGACCTATCGTTTTTAAAGATATTCTGGAACGGAATATTCATGAACACTCGACTATTAAGTTTGGGGATTTGATTAATTTTGAATTGTACTCCTGACGACGATAATATTTCAAAAGCATCAAACTTTCTGAAGCAATTTTT